TGGTAGTCGCCGCTCTCCAGGGGCTTGTCGGAGACGAAGTCGAAGCCCCAGCGTCGAGAAGCGTCTTCCAGGTCTTTCCGCAGGGCCGTCTGGTATTCTACCTGCAGCTGCTCTCGGTCGACTGGGCCGAAGAGGTTTCGTCGAGTGGGGCCGTTCCCAAAAGGGCTCAAAACTTTCTGAGGAGCTGCCATTGTTCTGCACTGTTGGACACAGATAGAACACAAGGAGTTAAATTATAGAATGACTTCACTGAACACGTCTCATCTCCACAGCTGAGTCTGGGGGCCACGGATGGAGACAACAGTAGTTAGTCTACACTGGTCTACAGGGGGGGCTAGACCGTGCCCCAGAAGAATCACTGTAAAATACAGTACAAGTATTGAAAAGTTGAATGCTCTTTGAGGCGCCCCCTTGTGGCAGAAGGCTGTCATCCACCTGGACCAAAACAGTTTTTCCCCACCTGCTGTTAGTCTCAGTAACAAACAGAAAGACTCCCACTGACGCCCCCGCCCCCCCCAAAACACGTCTTGCTCATCCAGCTCCTTCACACATCAATCATCCATCTTGCACTTTAAATACTTTAAATACTAAATTTTTAAACCCATCTAAACCTGGACGCATATTTCATCTGTCATGTATATTTGTCTGTATATAAAACTTCGTTAAATTCTAACATAGTTTTTCACTTTTTATTTTTCTGTGTAATTCTGCTGCAATAATATCCAAAGAAAATTCCTCGTAGGTAACACACAAAAAACAAACAACTTCTTGTTTACTTATCCGTAAAAACTTCATTCTAAAATCGGTAGAAGGTTCTGTTAAAGTTAAAGTTCGGTCTTACCATGGCTGAGTGTAGTACCAGTGTCGTCAGTGAACTACCAAACATCTCTGATCTGCTGTCACGGTGCAGCATTTATAAGCAGACAGTCACTGACTCACTGGTACATGTCTCAACATAGTCCAGGGCAGACATGTAAGGACAAGTCCCCCAGCACTGACTCATCGCTGCCGTCTATTGCTCACAGTCGCCACAAGATGGCGGCAAAGAAAAACAATTCAGCCAGAGTCGGTGTTACGGGGTCGATATTTAAAATAGAAAGTCTTCAACCAGAATGACGTGGGAATTTAACGATCACCACAGGTGTGAATGTAGGGGAATTCTCCCCCGTGAGAACTACAGACAGGAAACGACTTCCTTCCCGGAGAACAGGTCACATCCAGGAAGTACAGTTTTCCTGGAATTCTTTTACAGGAAAAACCCTAATAGAAAATGTGTCCTCAGATTTAAACATTCAGCCACAGATCTGTTTCATTCCCAGCCTTTAGACCAAAGGCACAAAATGTTTATGTTTTCCACCTGAATAAACAGACGTGAGCGACATCAACTGACTCGTTCACAGACACTGAGTTCAGTCAGGGGGGGAGGAGAGGGGGGGACTCAAGACATGTGATGTGGCATTTTTCCAGGAACTGCAGTCCAAGATGGGACCACCGGGAAGAGCATGAACTTTGAATAAACTTTAAATAATAAACCTCTTAAATAAACCTCTAATAAAGTTAAATAAACAGATAAACTTTAAATAAACTTTAAATAAACCTTTAATAAAGTTTAAATAAACGAATTCCAAGTTTAATATAGGAAAAAATAAGTCAGGATTATGGAGAAAAAAGAAATCAAGGAATTTGAACTCTGAGATCAAAACTTTAAACTCAATTACAAAAATGTATGAAAAATAATTCTGTAAAATAAAACTTTTCTGAAGACTTTCTTTTTTCATTTAACTTTAAATTCACACTTAATTAAAATAAAAAAATGTTTTTATCCTATGCTGGAAATTTTTTCAAAGCATAGCTTTTTTAAAAAAAAAATTGTTAAAATTTGTAACCAACCATTCACACTCACATTCACACTGACTGGTAATCTGGAGTGAACGCCTTGACTGGAATCTTTATCATTATTCTGCATGTGTTTGGAGTGGGGGGGGGGTCAGGGGGTTGGCAACAAACAAACAAACAAAACAACAACTTCCTGGATGAAAGTGTTCGTGTGAGAGAAGGGAAGATTTGAAGGGAGTCAGAAATAGAACCCCTGACTCACCCTCGCTCCCTGCCTACACCCAGAGGACGTCAGAGACTGGAGACGGAGGGGGGCGTGGCAGAGAGGAGTGATTCAAGGCTTGTGGCGGGAGAATGAGTGTGTGTGTATGAGCATGAGCCCAGCCCAGTTTACTACAGGGCTCCACGTGAGTGTGAAACTCGTGGACCGGTCCCACTGAGGCTGTCACTGTCTGCAGCCTCGCCTCCCTCTCTGTCACATCACACACTCATACACAAAAATAACACGTTGACCAAAAACTCCGTGGAAAAAAAAAAAGCTTTTCCATAATTAAAAACAGAAACCCCCAGTTATGTCAGATTAACGTTTAATCCCTGAAACATCATCACCTCGGATTTATATCCCATCAAAAACTCCACGGACTCCACTGTCAACTATCAACCGGTAACATCCTAAATATCACAAACATGGAGCTTCACTGACTTTAAAGTGGGACAGAAAACAGTTGAAGGTGTCGAGGTAAATAAAAAAATAAAATAAACTTTTGTTATTGTTGACGTATTCATTCATCTTTTTTCTACTTACACACTCCGCCGACTCTAGTCAAATCCGGATCAGATTCTCCTGATTTCCAACTCGTTGAGTGACTGTTCAGTTGTTCTGTATCAAATCGGACTAAAAGAGGTAAAAAATCTCTCAGTTTTGCTGAAACTCGACCTAAAAAAAACCCCAACAACAACCTTTGAATCAAACGAATAAAAGCCAGCGACCGCTTTGCTCCTTGGTCGTTTCTTCAAGTCTCCTCACGGACTCCGACTAAACTTTATCAACTCATGTGGGCGGGGCTTCACGCTGCAGCGTGTGGGGCGGAGCTACGAGCCTCACACACGTGGATTTGGCCCCGTAAATACATGTGAACACGTGAAGTGTACATCTGTAGTAGAGCGGAGGAAATTCCAGCACGGGATGACCCAGAACTTTCTTCCCCCCCTAGTGCGCATGTCAGAAATGGCCACAGTAGGAAAGACCGGAGTACAGTTTCTGTGGAGTGAGTCATAAATGAACATTACAGAATGTCTGGAACGATCTTCAAACGAAGGAAAACTCACTTGGATTCGATGAATAGCTCTGTTTTTAGGGGGGAAAACGAGGAAGACGTTTGTATCCGATTGTATTGAGCCAAGATGTTAGCTGTTAGCTGTTAGCATGTATAGTTCAGTCCAATCCAACTTTATTTGTTCTTTGTATTTTTACTTTGTACTTTTTAGCTTACAGCATTAGACCAAAAAAAGACACAGAATTACACAACAAAACAACAACAACAAAAAAATACACAAAAAACCCAAATAAAACAAAAACAAAAATCAGTCAACCTCTTGTAGGGAACAGCTGAAAAAACATTCTCAACTCACAAGATATCATCACAAAGACATTGCAACATTAGTTTCAATTTTAAAAGTCAATTATGCATTGTTTTTTTCATTTGTGTATTTCAATGCTTCACATAATAAATTATTCTGATTTTTCACCTGTTTCCATTTCAATTTTTTTATTCATTTACATTTGGCACCTGAATATTCAGTGTTGATATGTTCACTAATGTCACTGAGGTCTAAACAAAAACAAGGATATGCCTGTACTGGATGTGAACCAATGGCAGCTGTGTGTCAGTGAAGGCCTGTACGTTTTTACAGCTGAGTCCACACTTTGTTATCTCTCAACATAAAGGCAGCTACACTGTTTACCCCAGCACTTTTATAACCAGTCAAAGTGAAGAGTGATAGAGATAACATTAAAAAAAAAAAACAACACTTATTTATTTGATGATCTCAGTCAGAAAAAAAAAACAACACTTATTTATTTGATCTCTGACTGAGATCATGGTTCAGAAACTGTACTCCAACCACTATGGTTATTGTAACTTGTTCCAGCAATATATACTGGAAAAAATAAATAAATATTATTATTAATTATTACTAATCCCAGTCACTCAAACAGATTTAAAATTGTATTCAGCTGACCGGCCCACATTATGAATAAACATATTCAAAGACTAGTCTAAAATCGGCTTCATTTGCGTATTTGCTGCTCTGTGTGTGTGTGTGCGCGCGCGCGCGCGTTACGTTAAAAAGTGGGTGGAAATAGATTCCCGGCTTCCCAGAGTGAGCCGTCTCCGTGGAGACCAAAAAGATGACTCAGGGCTTCTGTGACGTCACTGGGGGCTGTTTAAGTAACGGGTGGAAAAGCGCGCGGAGATTTGAGAGCATGAAGTCTCTGTGTTGTGCCGGTTCACGTGGACTGTGTGCGTGAACGGAGAGCCGTGGGGTGTGACGAAAAAAAAAAACACGCAATTGGACAGTTGGGAGAAACGCGTGTTCTACAGAAGGATTTGTGAAGAAAAAAAAATCACACAGATGTTTTGTTTTCGATAAATTCTACTTTTTAAAGCACTGTGTTTAGAATGTGACGTTGTATTAACAGTCAGTATATTGAATTACTGCTTCATCACCATTTATGATGCGTTTATGGTTCAATATAAATCACTAGAATCACAGAATCCAGAGTACATTTTTAAAACACGGGTCCTGAGTGCACGTTTTTAATAACCGAGGCTCTGTCAGAGTCACCAGGACACATTTATTAGTAGGTCTTAATATATACAGTATATATATATATATACATATAACTGGGGAAAGGGTTAATGTCAATCATATTACATAACAGCCACACACCAGACACTGTGTTCAAGAGAAAAAGGAGGGAAACTTTTGACAGTCTGACAGCACATGATCCCAGTACTTTTATCAAGTTCTTTAATCACTTTGGTTCAGTCCATAAGAATTTGAAGATGTTGGTGTGAACATAACATAAGGCATATGTCCTGTTATCGCCCCCTTCAGGTGCTGCTGTAACCTGGTGTAGGTTTGTTCACAGGTGGTGCCTTAAATAAATATTTAATTGTTGGACTATATTATTTTGACATATGTCAAATTAAATATATTAATAAATCCCTTTGTGTAATACTTACTATGTCAAATTAAATATATTAATAAATCACTGTAATACTTAACCCCATGTTGTCCTCAATTAATCCTTATTTCTGTTCTTTGTAGTTATACATCATTGTAAACAAGGGCTATTTTCCCCTCAACCTCCTTAAAAATATTTTAAGACAAAATGTCACTGTGTAGTGTAGGTAAAATAACAGTAATATATTTTAAGTATTAAATTAACATACGTCATATATACACCAATATCTCACCTGCAGTTATGTGAAAATTAATTCTATTAACGTTTGGATGTTAATGACACGAGCGCCCTCGAAAATTAATTCTATTAACGTTTGGATGGTAATGCCACGAGCGTTTTGTGTTGCAATGACAAAGTTAACAACAGCAAACTAAAAAACAAAACAAAAACTAACAGATGTTGCAATGACAAAGTTAACAACAGCATCAGAAACAAAAACTAACAGGTATATTTTTTTTAGCAACCAGAATTTATTGAGATAATTTCAAACAGTATGAAACAATGGAAAATGATAGACAATAGTTTTTCTTGTGTGAATATACCTGTAAAAATGCCACCTTGCATCTCCAGCTAACACATGGAGCCAAGTAGCACAATCCAAAAAAAACTAATCTAGGAAAGAAAAAGGATACAATTACAGATTATCCCGGTCGTTAATGATCAGATAAAAAAAGTAGGTGTGTTTATGCAATGAAAATGAACAAATCACAACTCACAACTTGTCGAACTACACAGTACATTACTGTACAAAGACCAAAAGTCTCAAGGGATTTACTGATGAACTGGAATGCTGGGTGGTTCAACTACTGCAGGGCTGAGTGACAGGTCATTTGTCGAGGCAAAATCCTGTACGCACCCTCTAAAAAATTTTGAATTTACAATATCAGCAGAATGAGGGAGACTAAAATGCTTGATTTAAAAAAAAAAAAACAACACAAAAATTACTAGAGACGAAGTCCATCATTTAACGTCAAAGCCTGTAAAACCGTTCATCATAATTCCCTTTACACCTCCACGTGTGCTTTACTTTCTCTCATTCGACCTGGAGCGGCTGCAAGAAAAAGAAAAGTAAAATCACTAAAACATTACTTGAAAAAAAAAAATAGAATCACTTAAACGTAAATATTCTAAGCATTTCAGACACTTTTGAAATGTGTTTTCTAAATCAGTGAAAATAAATTCAATCTTAGACGAGCAGTACCTCCTGGATCGAGAAAAGGATCTTGAAGGTTTGTGGTTCCTCTCACGGGAGAGTGATCTCTCCCTCCTCCTGTCCCTGGAGAATGACCTGACAAAGCCAACAAGCAATTAGATCACTCCATCGACTCGAACCAGCGCAGGTATCAAATCACAGTGTACAGATACTTTAATCTCTATTTCCAAACACAGAGGTCATTGGTTAGATTTCTCAGCATCTTCTGCAGTGCAAAAGCTGACGTACCTGCTACGACTGCGGCTGAAACTCCTCCTGCGTGGTGATCTGTGCAGGAAAAATACAAGTGTTATAAATTCATTCATTTCTTTTTTTTTTTTTTTCCATCTCCATGCCGTTTATATAAAAAAAAAATTCCACCAAACATGGGTGTTTGTCAATTTCGGGAACTCAAAATGTGAAGGCCTTAGACCAGCCATGGAGTCAATTATTCTTTGAAAATAAAGCTGAAGGCAACAGACCCAGCAGATATAGATGGCAGGTCACCCAGATATCACCTCTCTAACCTACAGTACAGTTCATTCTTATTGTTCCCTGTATGCATCTGTGTTGATTAAAGGTTAAGTCTTGTACGCACTGGAAAATAAACAGTTTCTCCAAATTGACCTGACTTCAGGGAGATGACAAGCAACATTTAAATCAGTTATACATCTACACACTCTGGACTGACCCTGACAGGGGAAGTAGTACAACTTTCTAGCAATTTTCACATACAGGGTCACTGTAGTAAACTATTAACAAAAACCACTGCTACGGTAAAAAAAGACAAAACTGCTGCTGGTTTTTGTTGGGGAGTTGAACATTTTTTGATTCACCTGATTTCAAATCTATGACCAAAGCCCCTAAAGAAAAACAAAAATCTAAAATTGAAGTCTCTGAGAACATGAAGTTTAAAACCTTTTTGTGTTGGATCACTTCCATTTTGAAGCAAGAACTATGTTAATAATGGTGGAGGGCAAAACAATAAAATTGTGATTCAATGGTTTAGAAAAAGTAGAACCTGTACAAACCAGCTGTCTCTTCACTTTCAAAACTAATCAGCAGTGTACTGAATGAAGTAGGAAAACTTACTAGTATTTTTGGTTTTCAACAAGCTAGATATGAAGAAAGGGAGGCAGACTGTCGCCCGGGTGGGTAGAATTTGCTGAATAGGACAGGCCAGATGCTGCAAGGTGATTAGGTGGCAGGCAGGTGGGGGCTGGCTGTAGCTTTTTTTCTTGCTTTAATTGGTTAGCCGAAGGCTGCTGCTGGTAGGTTGTAGACATATGGAAACGTAATACGCTGATTGGTCGGGAATGTGAGGTGGGCCGCTGCCGTTTGGTTTAAGGTTGGAGGAAGAGGTGGTTGAGAACGGCATGCTGAGGAACCAATGGGCTGGTGCAACCTGACGACTGGCCATGCCTGGGTCATGTAACAGCACCAGCCAAGCTGATTGGGGCACGACGATCAGCAGTCACATGATGCTGAAAGAAGACTAGTTGACTGACTCAGAGGGTGGTGAGAAGAGGCATGGTGGTGGCTCTGCAACGGGTTTCATTCTTATTAATATAGATGAAAAATAAAAAGCATCCTCAGACAAAAGGAAAAAGCATCACATTTGACACTTTCACCCGTCCCCCCCAAATTTAAAATAAATCAAGTTATCCTGACAGAGAAAAAGACCAATTCTGCATGCCTGATTCACTAATTAAATGCAGCAAAAGGAGGAAAATGATTAATTTTTGACTAGTTTAACTAACTACTCTGTAATTAAATGTTATTGCCATAATCAAGGCTTCTTTTTGAATCTATCTTGTCTGATTTTCAACAGTCAATGGTATAAATGTCAATGATGATGAAACTGCAAACCTTAAGACATTTCCAACAAATATCTAGATAGGAGAAAGGGAATGTTGTAATTAACAATAAAGGAATTAATCTGCAGTTAAAAAGGGCCAAGTCACAGAACAGAAAAGTTGATGCATCTATAGATAACTTATTTAGTCTCCAACGTTTGTCACCAAACAAAAGATTTTTCACCTTCGCCTGACAGGAGGGCTGCTACGACGTCTGTAGTCATCTCGTTCTCTGGGGCGTCTGCTCCACGAAGGAGGGGCACCACGGGACCGACTGCGTTTCTCCCCATTTGACAACTCGACTCGCACACGGCAACCACACAGTGACCTGTAAAAATACTCTTCTTCAATATGTGCCCCAAAATGTACGTACTATTTCACTGCCTGTAGTTTCAGATGTTACAGGTCCTCCTACCTGCCGTCAAGCTCCCGTACTGCATCATTGGCATCTCTTGGATCCTCAAACTCTACAAAGGCAAAGCCTGGGGGGTTCCTCGCCACCCACACACTGCGGAGGGGACCATAGTAACCAAATGCCCTCTCTAGCTCTGTTTTGTTGCCATTATTGCCCAGATTGCCAACATAGACTTTGCAGTCGAGAGGACAATCTCGATGCATGGCTGGTTCTGTAGTGGGGAGAAAAAACACAAAAGTAAAATATCTATTCAATTTAAATTTAAAGAGATTCTATTACATCAATTTCAGTTAAAACTGGAAATCAACCTCTTATCTTATTTTAAAACATAGTTAGGTCGCCAATGATTCACTTCTGGGTTATTTTACTCAACAGCTAAATGATACTTCACTTCCTACAAATGCAACTTGGTATTACGTTCAATAAACTGCATTTGGAACAAACATTTCTATACTACTATGTGAGGAAAACTACTATTCCAGACTTTTTGTCCCATCGCCACGTATATATTCCAGCTGTAATAACTAAATGTTCTTTAATGGGTATAACATCGTTAATTTATGGTAGAACGTTAAAAATCGGCGTAGTCAAAAATATGTTTTCAAAAGCCGTCGATACATAACGATTATAAAGTTCCGTGAGAAAGCAGCACCATTAAAATAGAATAAGACTAAATTAAACACGAAAATCATCGATTCATTTTTAAGAATGACCAGGCCTGGCCTACTTTTCCAACAACCCTCGCAAACCAAGCTAACGCTAGTTTAGCAGAAGCAATATTGACAACCGAAACGTAGAACGTTCAACTAGAAACTGATATTTAGATGTTTTCATTCAACGAGAAACTGATGTTTAGATGTTTTCATACAACAATCCAGCTGTTTAAGCCGCATCATTATTAACTTTAGACATCATTATAGAGAATTACATGCGGTAAAAGCTAACGGTAGCATATGGAGAATAGCTAAAATGGCTGTCGCCTTGTTGAAACCGAGACGGCCTCATTTGGAATGCAAAGCTCTAGTATGGAGAAAAACAGCTAAATATGTCGCTGTGAGCATACATTGTAGTGTAAAAATGAAGAAATGAACTTGTTCAACTTTACCTGGCGACATTACCTTGTCAAATTTATTTAATAAATTTCACAATGGCTTGATTGACTTCTTTCTCTTGCTCCTTCTTTCACAGTCCTCGAAGGAAAATGGCGCAGCGGAATATACGTCGGTGGCTGGCGCCGCGAACGGGGAGTGACTACCGGAAGGGCGGAGTTTAGTCAACGTTGTTGAAATTTGTGTAGTTTAAATTAAGTCTATGTTCTTTCCTCGACACACGTTATGTACCGCCACGTAGATTATAGGAATGACTGATATTACCTAGTCGAGAGAAACAAATATAAATTGAACAGAAAACAGCAACAGCACTGGATCAAATATAAACGAGAATTACAATACCAGCTTTAGCCACAACGTGAGTTTGGAGCTGTTTAAACGTCTTTAAAAATATAACAGGTGCAACAACATTCATATTTAAAGGTTTAGCATTTAAATTTTTAGAGTTTGTGCGCGGTGTAAAGAACCACTGATCGAATCTAATCAGTGTGTTTCTGAGTCCTTTCATTTTGTAATGTTTAATCCTACGACAGGGAACTCACCATAACAGAGGATACGCCCCTCCACGTTGGTTCCCGCCCACAAACTTACTCGAGCCAAGTGACAGCGGAGCCAGCTGGGAAATATCGCGGATGCACTTCACTCCACTGAACTCTGCAAACCAACACACAGTGACATTTGTCAGCGACGAGCCGAACAGCCTTCAAGCAGACACTTGATTCTGGACGTTTCCCTCTGATTGTTTCTATTGTAAGTAATTCAATACTAACACTTCCTGTCACTGCTGTAGCTGTGTGAGCTAGTTAGCGGCACTTGGCCTCACATATGTACCACCGTAGTAGATGTAGCTGTTCCAATCGCACCGTGTGTATTTACACAGGTAACTTCAGTCCGCCGCAGCCAGCATGTCAGAGGCGGCCGGAGAGACGAGGCTGGAGGTGAAGCAGGCGAGCAAAGAGGCGAAAGAAAGTGAAAACGTGGCGGAGAAATATTCAGCCATGACCGTAAGCAAGAACAGCGACCTGAACATGGGAGAGCTGTCATCCGTCTTCAGCGCTGTACCCACTCACAAACCTGTGAAGAAGGTAATTGCTAAATAATTGTTGCCCTGTTGCCTGCTTTTTGGTCAATTTTGTATTTAATTTCAAAAAACAAACACAAAAAAGCCTTAATAGTAAAAGAAAAAAGATCATCTGCAACAAAGTTATCTTAACATCTTAAGGCTAATATCAATTATTTATTAATAAAATTATACATTTTGACATTGGCAGAAACACAACTCAACTACTTGTAGTAAAATGTAGTTGATAGAAAATTGATTTGTGCATATTTTTATTCTACAATATTTAACGTTTGCATAATAACAGCCTTTGTTTTAGGCAAATATTTTCCATGACCTCGTGCACTACACTTCAAGGAAACAGAGAATTTCAGGTGCAAAAAGATTTCTTTGTTCTTCAAGGAACCAGGAAGATTTGCAGCCTATTATTCTGTGGAACATGTTTGCACACCCTATTAACATCGCTCATCATACGCCACATTTGTCTTTGTCTTTTTTTGTCTACTGCAGAAAAGAGACTTTTTTTCAGCAGTGATTAAGAATCTGTCAAAAGACAAAGTCTCAGCAGTTTTGTGGAACCCCGGTCTGGCAGCCTTATTATGGTCTGTTTCACATCCTCATTCTCCTTTGGGGCAGGGCCTGATAATTAGTCTTCTTTTATTTGGTATGAAATATCACCGGATGTTAATCAAATGTGGTCAGTGTGTAAAGTTAAAATGATGTGATGTCCTTGAGGAAAACATTGACATATGAAACCTGCATCATTATGTAGGTTGACGTTAAGAATGTTAAAGATGAAGTTTTCGACGTGGTAAAAATCACCTGGTATTTAGGCCGGCTGCAATTATCACATATTTGTTCGCCTGCAGTTAATCATTCAAATTGCAAACGCAGCAGTGTTGCCTAATCATCATAATTGTTTCCATTAAAATTCTGAAAAACAGAAATGTCAAAGTGTTGAAAAAAAAATTGATGAAGAAACTGCTGAAAACGGCTGTGGTTAACCCAGAGTTAATGGCGTCGGCTGGGTAGTCCTGAGAGTCAGAGTAAAGTTATGTTAAAAAACTCAGAAAATATTGGTTTTCACCTCCAGATCTATACTGTTTTTCACATGAATGTTTGGTAAATGTTAAACACGGTGCTATGGATGTTCAGTTAAATGGTGACACGCTGCAGTTAACGCTTAGTTATTAACAGTTAGTTGAAAGCAAATCAGTTTCCAAAGAGACTGAAAACCATGTGGAAAGATTTTGTTTTGTAAAAATCTTTTTTTAGTCATTTATTTCTTTCAAATATATGTTCTAAAAAATAGAAAATATATTTTTTATATTTTTATTTTAATTATATATATAACCCATATATATATATATCACCCATTTAAAAAAAATTCAGCCAACAAGTCATCAATTAATCAGCCAACATTATCAGACTTTAAGAAGAGAAAAAAACCCCTGACTGATTCTAGGACTTCATGTGCGCAGCAGAACAGATATCTAATACCTAGATTAGAGATTCGTCTGAGCTCCGACAGCAAACTGTACTCTGACAACGTACGCTGTGTAACAGTGTAACAGTGTAACACAGAACTTGGAGTACTTTCAAATGTCAGCTGCATCACCATAAGCATGAGTCACACGGTGAAGAAATACAATCATGTTTTTGATAACAAAGTCTTCACGGACCCAGGGAAACCTAGACGTCAGTATCAGAGTGTCAGACTCTGGTGCCCCCGGTGGTGAACACTATCCTGGTCCGGAGAAGGTATGTACTGACCTGTCACTGAAGACTGAGGACCACATTGTTCCTGGTTACCATGTTATTTTCACTGGAATGTGGAGGTTCTTCAACTGCAGAGACTTATGTTCACCGGTAGAGACAATCAGACAGGACTGTAGGATCATTGACACTGCCATCTGTTGGTTGAATTCTCAAGGTCTGACACGGTTCAATTTCTAATGCCCAGAATTCCTTAAACCACTATTTTGATTTGAAGTGAAATAATTACAGCTGCTGAAATGAATGCCATAATTACATTTAATTAATAATTATAATAACATGCTGTTATTTAAGCACACTGTGGAAAAAAAAAGTTTTGGTTTCACTGAAGCACCTCAGGGTTTAAATACCACTTGGGACAAGTGCATAAATGTGACTGACGACACTGTCAAAGGGCTGTCGTGGGACTGTAGACTGATCAATATCACTGACGACAACAGGGTTTGAAAGTGACTTTTGATGCGTTCCACAAGACGCCGTCAAGATAAAAAAAATAATAATCTGACTGAAACATAATTAACTATGATTAATCCACAGCTGCCTTGTAATTATCAGATCATATGTCATATTAATGGTGTAACAGCCGTGCTTGTTTTTAAAACTGCTGATGTGAGCGGCTGTGCCATATGTTCTTTCCCGGAAAGTCTTTACTATGAATATACTGTAGGTGGGTTATGTTACAGCACCCGCAGGAAAAATAAATTAACACATCGTGTTGCTTCACTGTAAACAGCTTTCCACTGGTTTAGCTTCTCAGAGTTAGCTGAGTAAGCTAAAGATAGTAGTAAACAAGGTGTTCACTCTGCCAGGAGAGTGGGATCTTTACAAGAAAGAGTTCTTCTTTTTACACTACTTTTTAATGTTAAAAAAATACTCTCTCTGTGTTTACTGGCCAACTCTGTTGTATTTGTTTATTGTAAAGTACACAGACGTTGAGACGTCCAACACGGTCCAAAAAGAACAAAATCACTGAGTCACATTTTTTAGTTTTGAAAATGTAATTTTGTACATTTTCCGTAATAAAGTCTATGCCCATTGGCCTTTTTAAAAAAACAAACAAATTTGATTAGTTTTTCATTATTCTTTCAGCAAATTCAGTTTGTGGAGGACAAGCAGGAGTTCAGTCGTTTCCCTACCAAGACGGCCCGCCGCTCTCTGTCCCGCTCCATCTCTCAGTCATCCACAGACAGCTACAGCTCTGGTGAGAGTCAGCGTCTTCTTTCATTTTTATGACAACTGCTGAGCCAAAATTTAAAATATCCTTTTTTTTTGTTCTCTGCAGCGGCCTCGTACTCGGACAGCTCCGATGACGAGACTTCACCGCGGGACAAAACTCAGGTCAACTCCAAAGGCAGCAGTGACTTCTGCGTCAAGAACATCAAACAGGTCGAATTTGGCCGACGCGAGATTGAGATCGCAGAACAAGGTATGGACCAAGACGCGAGATCGAGATCGCAGAACAAGGTGCGGTATGGACCAATGAGAACTGACTAGTCATCCAGGAAACTGTGAAGCAGGAAAAAAATATTTATTACCGTATCATGTATTTCTTTTTTTTTTTGTCTTGTTTGTGTGACTCGTTTACAGACATGTCTGCTCTGATCTCACTGAGGAAGAGAGCGCAGAGTGAGAAACCTCTGGCTGGGGCCAAAATAGTGGGCTGCACCCACATCACAGCCCAGACGGCAGTAAGATTTCTCTCTGACTCTCACATGCTGCAGTGACATAGTACAAGGAATTGTTGTTTTAACTTTAACTTTCATGAATTCCATAAAACACAGGTTAGTTGGAGCATTGTTTAGTTTTATAACATTCCCCTTGTCTGGTCCTTTTCCCACCTTTGTGTTTCAGGTGCTGATTGAAACCCTGGTGGCCCTGGGCGCTCAGTGCCGCTGGGCCGCCTGTAACATCTATTCCACTCAGAACGAAGTGGCCGCCGCCCTGTCAGAGACAGGTTAGAGCCACAGATGATTCTGTGTTTCTGCTGGGATTTTTAATTTTATTTTAATTTTAGTGAATTATGTCATTGTGACACAGCACATCACTGCACACAATTAAATGTGATCCTTTTTTCACTTTTAACATTCATTGACGGGGCTGTACTGAACCCCCTGGGCGGGCTGGTTTTGGCCCGTAGGCCGTATGTTTGAAGCCCCTGTCATGATGAAAACAAAGTAATGACAGGTCAAAGTCACAGCTCTTTATATAGAGTCATTTGACTGAAATGTAAACTCACTCCTCTCTTGAAGTTGGTTTTCTTTTGAAAGTTGCTGTGAAGCCATGCTTATTATATAAACAAGACATCAAAATTGTCCATTAAAACGCCACCCGGTGGCAGTTTTCTTTTTTTTTTTCCAAACAGACCATGTAGGAAAATGCTGGACACTGTCACCATCAGTGTCATTTCAGAATGAGGCCAACTTCAGCAGAGATAGCTGATGCAAAACTCATGTTTTTTTAAACATAAATTTACATGCTGGACCTTTAAACTAGGGTTAATAATAATAATAAATCCAGAGCAGGACGTAGATTCTGTTTTCAGAGACAAACAAATGTTTTTTCTTTTATGTAATATTTCCCCTCACCTGTTTTCTCTCAGGTGTGGCTGTGTTTGCCTGGAAGGGGGAGTCGGAGGACGACTTCTGGTGGTGCATTGACCGCTGTGTCAACACTGAGGGTTGGCAGCCAAACATGGTACGTCAGGCTCTGAGTTGATTTAGACGTGAAATATAGGTGAAAAACAAGTGAAATAGTGAATACATTTTTTTTCAATATTTTTGCTGTTAGATCCTTGATGATGGAGGAGACTTGACTCACTGGGTGTACAAGAAATACCCTAACGTCTTCAAGAAGATCCGGGGCATTGTAGAGGAGAGTGTCACCGGGGTTCACAGGTAATTTTTTTACATTTAAAAAAAAAACTACATTTATCAGACAAAATGTAGTGGCTTTTTGCTGAGATAGTTGGACTTCTGTCTCCATCTCTAGGCTGTATCAGCTGTCCAAAGCTGGGAAACTGTGTGTCCCAGCCATGAACGTGAACGACTCTGTGACGAAGCAGAAGTTTGACAACCTTTACTGCTGCAGAGAATCGATCCTGGACGGGTGAGTTCAGACGATGCTGCAAGGCTTTAATAACTGCACAGCAAAAGTAAGGTTGAAAAACAGGAATGATTTCTTTAGTAGACTGTTGTTCATGGTATTGTCCACTAGTGCGAAAAACATATTTTTTTAAATTAATTACAATGAAATATAAATTTACATATGTTTCCTTTTTTAAAATTTACCAAGGGGGCCAGATTGAAACACCAAGCGGGCCAGGTTTTGGCCCACGGGCCGTATGTTTGTCTATCCTGATATTAAGGGTTAAAATTACAGGGTTAACACATAAAAAGAAGTACAACTTTTTGACACTAACGTTTTGCATCGACCCCACTCAGCCTGAAGAGAACCACAGACGTCATGTTCGGAGGCAAACAGGTGGTGGTGTGTGGATACGGCGAGGTGAGACGCGGCTTCATACGTCGACATGTCAAAATGATGATGTTTTGACATGTCTGCTCCTCACACGCGCTCTCATTTTGTCTCCGCAGGTCGGGAAAGGCTGCTGTGCTGCGTTGAAAGCTCTGGGCGCCGTGGTCTATGTGACGGAGATCGACCCCATCTGTGCACTGCAGGCCTGGTGAGGGAGAACAGGTTCAAGTCTGGCAGAATCAAAGTCTTCTTAATTATTAAGAACAGGGCAGAGTGAGGAGGCGTTAGTTTCAACTTCATGTATTTGTTTTGGTTCCTGATTAATCAAGATCGATCGACAAAGACCTAAATTAGACAAAGAAATAAATTCAGTGTTTGTTTCTGGGACAGGGAGACAGAAAACAGCAGCTGGTGGTGATGTCACATCATTTTTAATTTTGAGTAATAGGTTTTTTCTGTTTTTTCTAAAATTTCTGTTACAGCGTAATACAGAAGAAAATAGTTTTTTAATCGTTTGAAAGCCCTGATATATCAAACTGAAACTGAAATAAAGAGAATGGTAACGATTAGATTAGACTGATGATGTGAATTTTTTTTTTTTTTTTTACTACACGGGTTGATTTGTTAGGTTTGTTTTTATGACCGTTCTGTTAATGATTGTTTTGATAAGGAGACACACATTTGGGTCTGTTTTTCGGCTCTTTTGTCAAACATTTTACGGACCGAGCTTTGAATCGTTTTGGTTTCAAGTCAGTCTGTCATTGTGTTGATCTCCCCTGTTAGTCACTGTCCTCTACTTGACCTTTTTTTCCACTGTGGTGTGAACAGCATGGATGGGTTCAGGGTGATGAAGCTGAACGAGGTCATCCGCCACGTGGACATCATCATCACGTGCACCGGTAAATTTGGTTTCGCAACACTCGACTCGTGTCATACGTGTCGGAAACTAGAAGAGTCTCTGTGAATAATTGATCTTGTATTTTAGGGAACAAGAATGTGGTGACCAGAGACCAGCTGGACCGAATGAAGAACGGCTCCATTGTCTGTAACATGGGACACTCCAACACTGAGATCGATGTGGTGAGGCTGAACTCAAATACATCAGACAGGTTGTACCGAAACACAGGCCTGTAACTGCAATGTCCTTGAACCACTATTGGTCTGCGATCCCCAGGTTTAAAGACACCGGTCTAGCATACAAAGTGCATGATTATATGTACAGGACCAGCTAATCCCACAGGGTCTGATTTAAGCATTTTTAACAAAATCTGACCCTGATTAAAAAAAATGTGATACCTCCATGTTTTTCAGGCAAGTCTGCGTACCCCGGAGTTGACGTGGGAGAGAGTTCGCCCCCAGGTGGACCACATCATCTGGCCCGATGGGAAGAGAGTTATACTTTTAGCAGAGGTAAATGTGGCAACTGCACAATTTTTAAGTAACACAGATGTATCTAAATTTTAAATACATTTTTATTTTATTAAAATTTTTTTTTTCATCCTGTTTTCTTTCACAGGGACGTCTCCTCAATCTCAGCTGCTCCACGGTTCCTACCTTTGTCCTGTCCATCACAGCCACCACTCAGGTGAGGTTACACACCGCAGACAAGGGTTTCCTCTTTCAAATGTAAAGTGTAATATTTGTCTGTGTGTGTGTTTTCAGGCCCTGGCCCTCATAGAGCTGTACAACGCTCCAGAGGGACGATACAAGAAGGACGTCTACCTGCTCCCTAAGAAGATGGGTGAGGAAAAAAGAAATAAAAAACTAAACTAAAACAATCTAAGTACTAGGAAACATCTGCTAAGGACGGGTTTACTTTTAAAAAGAGTAAACAAAATAATATCAAAAGCCAAACATCAACACAGAAGGTCCGGGGGCCAAATCTGGGCCGCAGTGTAATTATATTTGGCCCGTGAGATAATATCAAATGTGTGCTATAGCCCCTATATACTGACAGGATTTGTAGTATTAGTGGTCTGTTTTCAGTTCAACTCTTTTGGATGTTTTTTTCCAGATGAATACGTGGCCAGTCTCCATCTGACCACCTTTGACGCCCACCTGACGGAACTAAACGATGAGCAGGCAAAATACCTGGGCCTCAACAAGAACGGACCCTTCAAACCCAACTACTACAGGTACTGAACGTGCATCGCAAAAATAAAATTGGTGTTTAAATATGTATGTCAACGGAACAGTTTGTCTGACGGTTCATGACCCAAAACTGTGTTTTTGGATTGGATTGATTTTGAAATAGAGTTCTTTCCCGTAGTTTAAAATTTTAAAATTAGAACACAGGCAAAGTGAATCTAAAAGATCCTGCAAATTTAGATTTCTTCAGGAAAATGTCACATCACTGACGTCGAACCTCGTCCATAAAGATTGTAAAATTCTCCGTACAGTTAACAGTTAAGATTTTAGGAATTCACAAACAACTACAAATCAAAATGGGGAATATTTTAATTTTTATTATTTTTTTATTTTATTCTTCTATTCTTTTTTCTACTCTTCATTTATTCTTCTATTCTTTTTTTATTTTATATTTTTTATTTATTTTTTATGTATTATTATTATATTATTATTTTTTTTTCTATCATCTTTTTGACGGTAATCATCGCTCTTTTTTTAATTAATACAAATATAATCAGCCCCTGTTTGTGACATTTCCAGGTATTAGTCCACGAGGGATCCAGCTGCCGGCCTGATTGTGGACGGTGCCTAAGACTTTGTGTCAAACAAAAAAGAACATTCATGTATTTTTTTTTCTTTTCTAATCCTCAAAAATGAAATGATATTTTCTGCTCTACGCAGAGGCACGACACGGCACCCTGCTGCCGACCAACAGAACTTCAGTTGCTTTTTACTGATGCATCCATTTTCACACTTTCCATAGTTACTTCAAGTTCAGTTCAGTATATACTATGCCAAAAGGTGTGATTGAAATCACATTGGTATGTGGTGAAATCAGCCAAATGCCTGAACATGAACTTTTATGTTATTTCAAAAGTGATCGCTTTAAAAAAAAAAAAAAGAAAAAAAAAATCCAAATATCTTTTTAGACACGTTCAACTTAATATTCTGCTGTATGGAGCATTTTAAGACTCCAGTTTTCCTGTCGGGCTGGTGAAACGATGTCAGTAATTATATTATTTTTTAAGTGGTCCAGTGCTTGGCTAGTAAGTGATGGCCTTCAGAAGTCTAGAAGGAAAGTAACAGAATTAGCCGTGGCTCTGTCTGCTGAGTGTTAAAATAAATGTGATCTGCTGTTCATGAGCCATGGAAACAGGAGATGATGATTTTTACTTTTTTTTTTTTTTGTTATTCTATAGAAACTGCTAACTTGCCTCACTTGATACATTCCATTTGAAAAAGACAGCAATGTCATAAATTATTTTTGAACATCAAAACAATGCAGCCAACACAGCAGATAAAGTTAATCTGAATTCTAAGCACTTTTTAATTTTAAAAAAAATATGAAAAGAGAATTTAAAAATATATATTTTGAAACACACTTAAGCTATGGGTATCTACAGTATTAAAAATCTGCATCTGCACCTCAGGGCAATTTAAAAAAAAATCTGTTAATGTATTTTTGCATCACTTTTGCAGCGGCTAATATTCACTTCCATTTGCATGTTTCATTTCACATCAAACTATTTTAAGTAATTTAAGATTTTTATTATTATACCAATCAGATGTTGTGATACTCTATGCCATATACTATATGTCTGTGTACAAGTATCTTCTGTTTCACCAAAGTTCAGTATTTGTCCTGATAAACCAATATGGAAATGCACAACTGCTGAATGTCTACTGAAAATATGTGGCTGCCTTCGGTGAGCGGTCAATGTTTTGTGAAGCTGTACTCCAACAATACTGGGACACAAGAAATATGACCAATTTGTATTCAGTTATAGTAAGGTATAAATAAATTATATAATTTAAAATTAAATATATTATTTATATCAAACATATCTTTAGACATTCTTACCTAAAACAAAGTGAAAACAGTGAAACCGTGACCTGCAATACTGCGTTCTGTTGAATTACTGCCACCTACTGGCTGTATTTCTTTACTTTTGAACACAAACGTCCCAAAAGTGTTTCTTCATGGCTCCGTGAAGAAAAAAGAAAAATGGATTTTGAACACAAACGTCCCAAAAGTGTTACTTCATGGCTCGTGAAGAAAAAAGAAAAATGGAAATACACAAAAATTAAATATTTTTTATTTGAGGGAAATGTATGCATATTATATGTTCAACAACGTTATCTGTCAAATGTTTTATCAACAGGAAAGGAAATTTGAAATTTGTCAACATGTCAAATCGTCGCTGTTGTTCAATTTCGATCAGAGCTTCTGTGTTGCTGTCACTACCTGTTTTTGTGCTGTAAAAAAAGTTGTTTTTAAATGCTTTAAACACTGTTCAGCGGGGCTTCTTAATAGCACAATTTTAATTTGTTTTTGTTTTTTATTGAGTCTATCATACGGTTTCCAGCTGGTCAGTGTGTTGTTCAATTGTTGCTTTACCTTTTTTTTCTGTATGTGATGTTGCAGTAATTTAATTTGTCCGTTACTCAGAACAGTCTGACTGTGTCTTTCACACAAGTACTCCCACTGTTACAGCTTTACAGAGCAGCTTTACGGATGTCACATCCAAGGACGTCGAGTCAGTGAGGTTGCCATGGTTACTGGTCACCTGACAGTGCCTTTGTGACTCATTTAGCAAGTTCTGTTCTCACCAACAGCTGAGAACTTCACTGTGTTTGCCAACAGCCAACGTGGTCAATGTTCTGGAGATTGCACACACACACGTAGCTATGCAGCTCGACATGATGGGTTCAAACAGTGTTTGTACAAAATGTTCACAACTGTAAATTGTTTTTAAATCTTTTTTTGGTATCACAGTTCAGGATCTTGCTGCTGTTACATTTTCGCATTTCCCTTTAATAAACATTAATT